CTTCTTCTTCTTCTTCTTCTGCTTCTTCTTCATCTTTTGCTTCTTTTTTTTTACTTCTTTTTCTGCTTTTTTCATTCTTTTTACTTCTATCCTTTCTCTTCTCTGCTTCTGCATCTTCTTCTTCTTCAGTTCTTCCTATACTTCTTCTTCTTCTTCTTCTTCTTCTTCTTCTTCTTCTTCTTCTATTCTTCTTCTTCTTCTTCTTCTTCTTCTACTTCTTCTTTTTCTTCTTCTACTTCTCCTGCTTCTTCTTCTTCTTCTTCTTCTTCTGCTTCTTCTTCTGCTTCTTCTTCTTCTGCTTCTTCTTCTTCTTCTTCTGCTTCTTCTTCTTCTTTTGCTTCTTTTTTTTACTTCTTTTTCTGCTTTTTTCATTCTTTTACTTATGCTCCTTTCTCTTCTACTGCTTCTGCATCTTCTTCTTCTTCGGTTCTTCCTATGCTTCTTCTTCTTCTTCTTCTTCTTCTTCTTCTTCTTCTTCTTCTTCTTCTTCTGCTTCTCCTTCTTCTTCTTCTTCTTCTTCTGCTTCTTCTTTTTCTGCTTCTTCTACTTCTCCTGCTTCTTCTGCTTCTTCTTCTTCTTCTTCTTCTTCTGCTTCTTCTTCTGATTCTTCTTTTTCTGCTTCTTCTTCTTCTTTTGCTTCTTTTTTTTTACTTCTTTTTCTGCTTTTTTCATTCTTTTTCTTCTGCTCCTTTCTCTTCTACTGCTTCTGCATCTTCTTCTTCTTCAGTTCTTCCCTATCACTTCTTCTTCTTCTTCTTCTTCTTCTTCTTCTTCTTCTTCTTCTTCTTCTTCCTTCTAGCTTCTTCTTTTTCTGCTTCTTCTACTTCTCCTGCTTCTTCTGCTTCTTCTTCTTCTTCTTCTTCTTCTTCTGCTTCTTCTTCTGATTCTTCTTTTTCTGCTTCTTCTTCTTCTTTTGCTGCTTTTTTCATTCTTTTTCTTCTGCTCCTTTCTCTTCTGCTGCTTCTGCATCTTCTTCTTCTTTGGTTCTTCCTATGCTTCTTCTTCTTCTTCTTCTTCTTCTTCTTCTTCTGCTTCTTCTTCTTCTTCTTCTTCTTCTGCTTCTCCTTTTTCAGCTTCTTCTACTTCTCCTGCTTCTTCTGCTTCTTCTTCTTCTTCTTCTGCTTCTTCTTCTTCTTCTTCTTTTTCTGCTTCTTCTTCTTCTTTTTTCTTCTTTTTTACTTCTTTTCTGCTTTTTCATTCTTTTCTTCTTCCTTTCTCTTTCTGCTTCATCTTCTTCTTCTTCAGTTCTTCTGTATTCTTCTTCTTCTTCTTCTTCTTCTTCTTCTTCTGCTTCTTCTTCTTCTTCTTCTTCTTCTTCTTCTTCTTCTTCTTCTTCTTCTTCTTCTTCTTCTTTTTTCTTTTTTTACTTCTTTTTCTGCTTTTTTTCATTCTTTTCTTCTGATCCTTTCTCTTCTGCTTCTACCATCTTCTTCTTCAGTTCTCCTATCTTCTTCTTCTTCTTCTTTCCTTCTTCTTCTTCTTCTTCTTCTTCTGCTTCTTCTTCTTCTTCTTCTTCTTCTGCTTCTTCTTTTTCTGCTTTTTCTTCTTCTCCTGCTTCTTCTGCTTCTTCTTCTCCTTCTTCTTCTTCTTCTTCTTCTGCTTCTTCTTCTGCTTCTTCTTCTTCTTCTTCTGATTCTTCTTTTTCTCCTTATTCTTCTTCTTTTGCTTCTTTTTTTTACTTCTTTTTCTGCTTTTTTCATTTTTTTTCTTCTGCTCCTTTCTCTTCTACTGCTTCTGCATCTTCTTCTTCTTCGGTTCTTCCTATGCTTCTTCTTCTTCTTCATCTTCTGCTTCTTCCGTTTCTACTGCATCTTCTTCTGATTTTACTTCTTCTTATGCCCCTTCTGCTTCTTGTACTTGTTGTTCTTGTTCTTCTTCTGCTGCTGCTTCTCTTCTCCTTGTACGTATTTTTAAAAAATCTTTTTTTTTCTGATAGTTATTAATTTATACAATATAATTCATCCATATCGAGTTTTAAATGTTTTTCATCCTTGCAACTTTTTTCTTCTAGATGTGCTTTTTTTATCCTTTACTCATTCACCCTTTTGAGTTACACTTTTTTCCTAATTTCATTTTCATTCTCTAATTTAATTTCTCTTTTCATTCTTTTGCAGCCTTTCTTTATCTGTCTTTTTTCCCTATTTCTTCATATTTCTTCTCAGTTTCATTCTCTTCTTTCATCATTTATTAGAATATGTCCTGATTTCTTATGTTGCTTTTCTGTTTAAGTTTTCCTTCATTTCTTTTGTAATGTCTTATTGTCAAGTGTCCAGTGACTCTTCTTTGATCATCTCTCTGCCACTTATCTTGGTGATAATTAGATTATATTATTTAAAGACACGCATCAAGAATAGAAGAAAGCAACTTTAATGATTAAAAAGAAAAAAGATCACAACATCTTTATCACTTCTTTTAGCTTTTTTAACATATGTCAAAATCTTCTTTTTGAAATCTGTCAAAATCTTTTTAAAATCTATCAAAATCTTATTATTGAAATCTGTCAAAATCTTATTTTGGAAATCTGTCAAAATCTTATTTTTAAAATCCGTGAAAATCTTTTTTTGAAAACTGTCAAATTCTTATTTTTTAAATCTCCCACACCTTTATTTTTAAAATCTGTCAAAATCTTACTTTTGAAATCTGTCAAAATCTCATTTTTGAAATCTGTCAAAATCTTATTTGTGAAATCTGCCAAAATCTTATTTTTAAAATCTGTCAAAATCTTATTTTTGAAATCCGTCAAAATCTTATTTTTTAAATATGTCAAAATCTTACTTTTGAAATCTGTGAAAATCTTATTTTTGAAATCTCTCAAAATCTTATTTTTAAAATCTGTCAAAATCTGAAAATTCAATAAAACTTTTTAAATATCTTCATACATTTCCCTTCCACGTTTATTGATTCAATGAAAAAATTATCGCCATAAAACATCCTAAATATGTCTTTACACACCCACCGCAATAGATATGCCCTGTAAATTTACAATGAGCATATATATATATATATATATATATATATATATATATATATATATATATATATATATAAAAATATTAAAATATACACGCATATAAAATATATAGATATATATACATAAAACATTTATATATATCTTTTTAATAAAAAAATATGGAGGATAGAATCCTCAATATTAATATATATATATTATTTATATATATATATATATATATCATTATATAATTATATTATATATATATTATTTTATATATATATTATATATTATATATATTATATATATATATATATATATATATATTTTATATATATATAATTTATATATATATCATGAACAGTTAGAAAGATGATGAAAACTAAAAGAGAAACAACCTAAATGATATGGACTAGATTCTATGCCCAAAATACATTTAAAAAAATTATAAATAAATAAAAAAAATATAAATTCAAAATTCCCTGCGTCTCTTGTTCGTGCGCATGTGTACTCGCATCAACGTAAAAAAAAAACAGTCTGATGAAGTCCTCAGAGACAAAACACGTGATACGAAAATTTTTTACATTTTGTCATACAATACGTGTATAGACACGCATACATAGACTACGAAAAAAAAAAATCAACGATAAAGGGATAATTAAGAAGTATAATCAGTCAATTAGTGGTACTCTCAGACGAGTGGACAGAGTGATTCCTGGAGAGGCAGTTTACGAAACTCTGGAGTAAGGATATTGAAAGTAACATCAAAAAGCTAAGTAACAGACTTGTATTAATTCTCTCTCTCTCTCTCTCTCTCTCTCTCTCTCTCTCTATCTATATATATATATATATATATATATATATATATATATATATATATTAAATAAAAATCCATCTCAGTTATAATTTATTTCATGAATATTCATCTTTTCAGACCGCAGGGTTTTTAGAAAATGTTTTCTAAAAAAACCTTTGGTCTGAACAGATGAATATCAAAATATTCATGAAATAAATTATAGCCGAAGTGGATTTTTAAGTTTTTTCTTAATTTATTATTATAATGCTCTGTAATTTACATTGAGCTCTCTTTAAATTAATGTTCTTCTTTTAAATATCGCCATCGATTACAAATTGATATTCAACGCCATTCAACACCATCACTTGACAATACGCCAGAAGTGTTGAAACAAAATGGCTATTTTTTGTAGTGATTTTCTAACATATTTATTTTATAATTTTCGAATAAATTAGAGTTGCTGTAATCTGTAGTGAGCACTCTTTTAAGAATAGCATTTTTTGGTTAATGAAATTTATTCCATATACACCAATCCTATACTTGGTGTGTGCGTATATATATATATGTGTGTGTGTGTGTGTGTGTGTGTGTTTCATTAAACAATATAGACAGGTGTTGTCTATTTATTTTATGTAAATTCTTTTCATAACGTCTGATAAGCTTAATAACATTATCATTAAACGAAGAAAAAAAAATCACAATATTGATACATATTTTTAATCTAATCGAAGCTTTCGGCTTACATACGCCATTATCAAAGATGGCAATAATTGTACAATATATTAAGCAATATACGGACAAGACAGTGATGATAGTCTGTTTCTGTTTACATTGATGATTTCCAAGCAACGATAAACACGTTCATACAAGACGCTGGAAGCGAAATCATGACGTCACACATGACCACGCGAGAGTGAATTCGAGAAGTATTAAGTATGGGAAGCCGTTGGTATAAACCAATGGCTTCTGTTACCAATTATAGACATTTAAGAATATTTGTGGAGATTTCATAGTTTATTTTGTTCAAGTTAGTTTTCAACTGTTTTATGTATATAGCTTCAAGAATTTTTAGCTTTTGTTTATTGTTTTCATTTTTATATATATGAATATTTTTATTATGAGAGTAGGGCAGATTTTACAAGTACATCAATATGTTAGAAGCTAAAGATGTAGAAGTTTGTGTTGTATCATTATCCTAATGTACACATTTCTAATCAGCATCCATAATACTGGCTTTACATTGACTCATATTATTTACAGGCTGCGGTAAACCTGCTCATGTTTCAGCCACCAAGAGAGACTGACGTAAGGAATTAGAGGGTAAACAATGGTAAAGAGAAAGAAAATGAAAGATAGACTGAAAGAAATAACGAGTAAGAGAAATGAAGAAAAATAGAAGGAGGGCGGTACTGAAAGGGAGAAGTTAAAATGAAATGAAAAGATTGGGGGAATAAACAAAGAACAAAAAGAACAAATGAAAAATACAGAGGGGAAAAAATAACAGAAAGGGTAACAAGAATCAAAGCAGTAAAAAAGAGAAAAGATATTAAAATGAAAGAAAGAAAGAAAGAAAGAGAGAGAAAAAGAAAGAGAGAAAAAAGAAAGAAAGAGAGAAATACAGAGAGTGAAAACAGAAAGAAAGAAAAAGAAAGAAAAAGGAAAAACATAAAAATAAAAAAAAACAGATAATATAAAAGGAAAAAGAAAAAGAAAAACTTTAATCAAAATAAGTGAGTGGAAAAAAGAAAAAGAAGTTAAAGAAAACAGAAAGAACTAATAAAAGAGAAATAAATTTTGGATGAATAAAAAGAAGTTTAACAGGGTGGAAAGAAGGTGACAGAAAAAAGATTAACAAGAAATGAGAAAAAAAAGGGAAAAAATGAAATAGTGAAAACAACGCTAATAATTTTAGAGGACAAAAAAAGAGAACAAGAAAAAGAAAGAACGGGTGAACTAGTGGATAAATTAGACCTAAATATTTGTAGAAAAAGTGTTCAGAAAGGAGTCAAGTTAAAATAGATAAAGCCAAGTTATATATGTGCTTAAGTTTAATTGTCATTGATCTCCGTCAAGATGATTTATTAACTTTTGACGTCCATTTTGTTAAAATGTCCGTTTGGCGTACAGTTAAGAACGGAGCTTGTCAAAGGCTAACTGATTCCCTGACAAATGAACGAGGATCAACAAGAAATATGGCCGCTATTAAGTGTTTCCAGGAGTTGTTTGTTGTTCAGTCGTTTCTAAGACTTCCTCATCGGCAGTACGATTTGAACAGGCCCTGGCAATTCTGAAAAAAGCGTCCAGTCTGACCTCACCCATGTTTACATGGAGAAGAAGAAGAAAGAAAAAAAGAAAGAGGCAGAAAATGGAAGGGAATAATTAAAGGAGAGGAAAAAAAGAACAAAAAGAAAGAATATAAAGAGAATAATAGAAAGGAGGAGGAGGAGGGGGAGGAGGAAAATGGTGACGTTTGAAGAATAGGAAAGAATGCAAAAATAAAATAAACACGCACAGAAAAAGGAAGGAAAAAATATACGAAAGTAAATAAAGAAGAAGGAGAAGAAGGAGAAGAAGAACGTTGAGTACTATAGACTGAGGATAATGATCGTGGAACGGTGAAGAAGAGTATTGATGGTTTTGAAGTTCAACATTCGAAACGATGACCATTACTTACTAGGGGGTGAGAAATCGTCTGCTGGCATCAAAGACAAAATGGAAACTATACGATGAAGAATCAGTCATTAAGTCCGTAGCCGGACTTATAATCTAAAATTTTCACTGTATAATGTACCATCTACTTGATTAAGGGAGAAGAGTTGACTTAAATGAACTGACAAAGAACGAAATTGTTTTGAAAAAAATATTGTGTAAAATATATTATCAACTTAAACACACACACACACACACACACACACACACACACACACACACACACATATATATATATATATAAGTGGACATTGAGGTCAACACCTGGCGGCGACAGTCTGTTTCCTGCTTAAAGGTAATCTTCAGGCCTAAAGATTGTGTTTAAGCAAGAAACCGACAGTCGTCGACGCGTGTTGACTTCAATATCCACTTTTATATTTACACACGCTCAATTTCCACCATTATCCTTCACTTTCTTTCTATTTCTCTTCCTCTAACCCTCCTCAACATCTTCTCTTATCCACAAAATAAAACCTGGTAATTTTTTTAAATTCTAATTTACAAGGGATTGTTTGTTTTTTTAACACAAGGCAAAACGTATAATAAAGAAGGAAAGCTTAGAGAATTTGATAATCAAGGAACACGTTTAAGACAAGAAGACGACATAACCTATTTGACAAGTTTGAACAAATAGATTTACGAACAAGTCTTACAAAGTTTGTAAACACATAGGTGAAGAGAGAAGTCTTGAAGACTATAACACACAGAGTGCATTTAGCAGACAACGAGAAACAGGGAAAAACAGTGAATAACTTACTTGAAAAGTTTAAACGAATGAATGGAGGTACAAGTTTTACAAAGACAAAGCGTCATCTCAAATGTGTAAGTATTGTTGAAAGCAGCAAAAGACAGGAAGCTGTTAAGAGCCTTGATTATCCGCGCCCTGACAGAAACACACGCTCAAAGAAAGGCAGGCGGCTTCACACATGAGCTCAGATTTTACAGAACTCTTTGAAACAAATGGTTATATTATGGCCAAATATATAAAGACAAGATTGAAAAATGGCGACGAATCTTTTACCAATGACCTCGTCTATACAAATACATGCTTATAATTGTATCTAAACATTGTTTACTCGACAAGAGGCCATCTTCAAACATATCCTGTCACAACACAGCACTAGCCGAAGACAACAGAGAATTTTCTGACTCTCCAACATTAAAGTACAGGCAGATGTGACAGATTCCCTCTACAAAGGGAAGCTTCTCTGTGTATTAGATTTGAAGGTGGGAGTTCATGAACATTGGCACCTTCAGGGTTTGTAGAATTATTAAGAGGATCATTGTTAGAAGTTCATTAAAATATTCCATTGGTCATAGTTCTACATTTTCCCCGCCGAGGACCTTTCGCCTAAGCAATGTTTTTTTTTTTTTTTTTTTTTTTAATCATAATGTACAAGTGGCGAGTTTATTGTGCAAAGAGGTTATGAATCTGTTCAATGATTCGGCTACGTGAGACATTGCTATTTCATTTTTAATTAACTTCTATTTATTTGATGCTTATTATGAGTGTAACTCCATAATGTGGCATTGTACTTTGTTGGTTGGTTATTGACACTTTAGATTTGTCTTATTTCCGCTGACACGTCTCTCGTCCTTGTGACGTAGAAGAGAAAAGCACAGTCATTTGAGAAGACAATTACGATTGAACACTTTTTTTTTTTTGAAAAATGGTGAATGCATATTTCTTTCTTTTTTTTCTTTCTTTCAAATCCCGCTTTTATCCTTGTTCTGTTTAGTATAAGTTTTTCTGATTATTGTTTTGACTTCTTTATCCTTTCCTTTTTTAGCAAGTCTCTTTTTCATTTCTTCTGGTTTGTTTGTTTGATTCTTTCTTTCTCTTTTTTTTTTCTTTCTTTTTTTTTATTTATTTTAAATTTTCGCTGTCTTACTGTTTTGGTTTCTTCACATTTTACTTCTTTTACATATTTCTTTTTTCTTTTTTTCTTTTTTTTTTGTTCGTTCGTTCGTTCGATCTTTCTTTCTTTTTTCCTTCCTTCCTTTTAAATACATTTTTCTTTTACATCATTCTTTTCTTTCTTTCTTTCTTTCTTTCTTTCTTTCTAATACATTTTTCTTTTACATCATTCTTTTCTTTCTTTCTTTCTTTCTTTCTTTCTTTTTAATACATTTTTCTTTTACATCATTTTTTTCTTTCTTTTTTTTTTGTTCGTTCGTTTGATCTTTCTTTCTTTCTTTTTTCCTTCCTTCCTTCGTTTTAAATACATTTTTCTTTTACATCATTCGTTTCTGTCTTTCTTTCTTTCTTTCTTTCTTTCTTTCTAATACATTTTCCTTTTACATCATTCTTTTCTTTCTTTCTTTCTTTCTTTCTTTTTAATACATTTTTCTTTTTTTATTGACAATACTTTTTTTTATTTCCTTTTTAATACATTTCTATATTTTGTATCTACTACATCTTTTTCTTTCTTACTATTTGAGTTCCTTTACCTTTTCTTTCTTCCTTTATTTCTTTCTCTCTCTCTCTCTCTCTCTCTCTCTCTCTCTCATTATTTTTATATTTTTTGCAATTTACATTCATTTTTCTTTTTTTTTTTCTTACTTTCTTTTTTTCTCTCTTTGGATTCCTTTATCATTTCTTTCTTTTTTTACCTTTTCTGTCTACCTTTTTCTTTTTTCGTATTTGGATTTCTTTCTTTCTTTTACTGTCTACATTTTATTCCCCATTACTTTCCCCTTTTCTATTCTTTTCCCCTTCATTCAATTATAATCTTAATAGGATACTCTGTGTCGTTAGTCAAACGAACCGCTTCACGTCAAGATCGCTCCTTTCCCATTTAAGAAGGTTTACGTTAAGAGTCTTCAGGGTTGCTAGACTTAGACCATCGGCTTTGCTGAGCAACGCAGAGTACCTCCGCCTAAACGAACCATCGTCTCTAGGCTTGAATGAGAATCTAATGAGCAATCGTGCTTCTATTTGACAAGCGAAGACAACCGAAAACATGCCATTGGCTGGAAATGCAAGAGACACTCGTCATTAAGGAAATCTGCATAAGGAATCAAATATAAAATGATCTGGGGGTGAAGAAATGTGGTTGAGGTTGGAGTAAGGAGAAGAAGAAGGGAGTGTGGCCAGATGGTTTAAAGGATCTGTGACCATGTTGAAAAGATTGTCATTTTGAAGAAGGAGGAAGAGGAGTAGGGGAAAGAAGGAAGGAAGGAAGGAAAGAAGGAAGGAAGGAAGGAAGGAAGGAAGGAAGGAAGGAAGAAGTAGAAAACAAGAAGAAACGGGAAATGAATGTGAGAAGTTAGAAAACGTTCTAAATTGAGAAACAGAAAAACGAGAAAGAAGATTGAAACAATAAAGCAAAGAAAGAAATATGAATTTCATAAGAAAAAAATAAGATGAATTATAGATGGAGTTTAAAGAAAAGAAATAAAATGAAGAAAGAAGAGAAAACAAAAAGAATCCATGAACTAATGAGAAAAAGAAAGAATAAAAGAAAACGAAAGGTAAAAATGTGAAGAAAAAACAAAAAACGCAAATCAAATGGATTAAACAAATTTCAATAAAATTTAGAAAGGATAAAATGAAATTAAAAAAATGATAAAAAATAAAATAAAATAAGGAACTCGACAGCGAAGGTGAAGGTAAATGGGAATAAGGAAGACAGGCAGACAAAAAGAAAGAAAGAAAGAAAGAAAGAAAGAAGGAAAGAAAAAAAGAAAGAAAGAAAAAAGAAAGAAAGAAAGAAAAAAGAAAAAAGAAAGAAAGAAAAAAGAAAGAAAGAAAGAAAAAAGAAAGAAAGAACGAAAAAAAGAAAGAAAGAAAAAAGAAAGAAAAAAGAAAGAAAAAAGAAAGAAAGAAAAAAAAGAAAGAAAGAAAGAAAAACGAAAGAAAGAAAGAAGAAAGAAAGAAAGAAAGAAAAAAGAAAAAAAGAAAGTTTCAATTAAATAAAGGAAAAATAACGAAAGTGAGAAGACAAACGGGAAAGCGGAACAATTTAAAAACTTAATAAACTTTGAAATAATTCGTCTGGTCACGTGATCGATCGCCTGCTGCCTTCAGTTGTGAAACCAATCGAGTGCGTATTTGTCAACAGCCGGCAGCTTTAAAGGTTAGTGGTTGGGATCTAGTAGAGACAGCTGGAAAACAGAGAGTAAAGAGCGATTTTGATTTTGTCATTTACGCGGAAAGATGAGGATGTACGTAGGAGAGGACGGTGGTTGGGGGTCCAGCGCCGTCCATCTATGTTACCCTGTGACGCTACGAGGCTATTACCTGCACCTTTCCTGACTTATATCATTTGTTAAGGCCAGCAACACACATCAGGGCGCATATTTATGATAACGGTCGGACTAAATAGAGCAGAATATTGGCGGCCCGCTTGAATAGTTGCGATTTATTTGGTTGTCGGAGAAGCAGTGGCTGGATATAAAGAGTTGCTGTTAATTTGAAATGACCATTAGCGTGAGGGAGTGACCAGCAGCTTCCTCCACCATCACTGAATCGATGAATTTATCAGCATGATTACCGTTATTTCGTATAGCTCTTCTCCTTTCTCATCCTGGTACAATTCGTCCTCATCCTCCTCATACTGCTACTACTAATCTTTTGCCGCATTCTAGTACCAGTCCTATTCTTATTATCCGTTCGCTCCACAGATCCGGCTCTTGGAGACATCACCTGGGGATTAAGTGATAGCAAGACAAATAACCGACTCTCTTCTCTTCTGTGCCATGATGCGTATATTCAAATTCAAACTGTGCACCTATATTTCTAAATGTTACAACCAGAGTCGTTGTCAGTGTTTCCACTGTTATAGGGAAGACCGTCATCTTTTATGTTAGAATTTTTTTAGATGAGCCTTCCTATCAAGCGCTGGCATGTCTATCATGTCTATCATACTTACAAAGTGTTTGCTGTTTCTGCTTCAGTTTTCACATGTGAAACATGGAATTCATGCATAGCTGATCCTGTGTAGAGTGTAAATGTTGGTCATCAGCCCATTTTGTTCTGGTTTATATTTAAATATAATTTTTTCTAGTATATATTTAAATATGAATTATCCATTATTTGAGACTTTTTTGTGTTAGGTCGGTTTCTTGCACTGCAAACCAAAAAAAAAAAAAAAAAGAAAAAGAAAAAATGATCCGAAATATAAAAAAGAAAAAAAATAGAGAAAAAAATTTTAACGTTGGCGACGAATAAAATGTAAAATGACATATTGGTTATTAAGTCTCGTTTCTTCCTTTGGAAAACAAACAGATATCATTACACATTTTAAATATTCCCAGCACTTACGTGATAAAAAATATCGATTTTATAAAAGTAAAAAAAAAAAAAAAAATAATAATAAAAAAATAAATAAAATAAACAACTTTTATTGTTTATTGTCAGAATCTTGTTCCATTTTTGCATCAATTTAGAATTGGAGAGCCTTCAAAGTAAAAGATTTTGGTAACGAAGAATTCAAACTCTTAGCTAGACTAGCCAAAACCGGACACCTTGTGTGGCGAGGCCATGGATCTATGCTCCACAGAAAGTCTAGAACAACAACAACAACAACAACAACAACAGTCAAATCAGAACTAAATAATAACAGATGAACCTCATTTTTTGGCAACATTTTAAAATTATTTCTTTTCTGTGTCGTGTCCATTTAGGACGTGACCGATCTTGGCTCTCCACAATTTCCTGTTTTTTGTAGCCCCTTCGCTCTCTCTCTCTTAACCCTTGTCCTGCCAACCATTTATACATGCTCGTTATGTAGGTAATGTTTTGTTTTCCTCAGTGCCCCTTATCTTCAGTATATGTCATGGCTGTGTTATATTTTCTCTTTCCTTATTATACGCCCTAGGAATGTCAACTGTCTCTTTCTCATGTTAAATATATATGTTCTTTTTGTTTCCATCTTCTCTAAGACTTCGTAATTGCTCACATGTTCAGTCTATGGTATTCTCAGCATTTTTCTGTAGAACCACATTTCTATTGCTTGAAGTCTGTTCTTCATCTGTGAGGACATTGTCCGGTATTTACTGTCATATAGGAGGACCGTTATTACATAACATTTCAGTACTCTTTTTTTTTAACGATATTTTCAGTTTCTTAATACTTTGCTTGGCTTTTGCAAGTCATCTTTCGTATTCCAATGTGCATTCGGATTTCGGTATTGTATTTTCCGTCTTCTATTAAAAGAATTCCTGGGTATTTAAATTTGTGTACTTGATTTTGACTTCCCTCAGTTTGTAATTTGCATTTTGGGTTGTTTCTTTTTTGCTGACAACCATACACTCTGTCTTCTTTCAATTGATGTTTAATCCTTTTACTAGCGTTCCTTCACTAGGTATTTACTCCCACTAAGACCAGTTGTGACACAATGTCAGTTTTTAAGGTGAGGACCCCGAGCGTGTAAACCCGGCCCAGGATCAAAAATTGCCCGCACCCTCCGCAACCCTTGGTTGCGCTGGCCTCGGTGTGAGCTCCGATCCCTCTCTCTAGTTCAATAAGATGGCGCTGCCTCGGGCAGCTGTTCCCCCGGGGCTGAACACCTTTCAGTCTAATTTTCCTCAGTTGCGACTCTGTCCTTTGACGGAGTCGCCCCTAAGTGCACTCTGCCCAAAGACAGAGACGCAACTGAGAGATGATAAATAAACGTGTTACAAACCACTTGAAGTAGGGGTTTAGCGTTGCTTCACTATATTCTGTATTTTTATTCGGTCGAGTTAGCTCAGTCTATCACGTCAACCGTCATAATCTTGCATCAAGGTCGAAAGGTCATTCGGGAGACATTCTGCATCATAACGTAGCTGGTCAATATGGGTGGTTGCTTGGCGTAATTTTGCCTCATGGCCGCCAATAAAGAATCCTAGCAGCACTTCTAATTCTTTCAGAACCACCTCACTGTAATGGTTGAACAAGTCCGGCAAGAAGATGCATTCTTGTCTTACACCCATTTCTATTTTTAGACATGATGAATGCTTTTCATGTACTCGTTTGCACTAACTCCAAATATATTTGTGCGAAAATTCTGTTGCGCGTATCTTTCACGTGTAAAAGGCAACATTCTAACTTCTTATTTATAAGTAAAATTGAACATCGACTACAGACACAACTACTTCAGTTACCAAACTGATGTGATAGATTTAACTGGATATGGTAAGTTAAGCCTCTATGCCAAATAAATAATTAAAAAAATCAAAGTGTAGGAGGTAATCTAGTGATTAAACCATGGCATGTTATGCTGACAAGCTTTTGATTCAAGATAATTTTGGCAATTGCGACGTAACTAATACAAACTGCCCTAATTTGTCAGTCGTGTAAAAAAAACTACGCCCACCAGCATAGGAACATGTATAATTTATAAGCTTCTAGAATCTGAATGTATACTTATCATAGATTTTAAATTAAGACGTTTTTTTTTTCAAATCAAGAAAGCCGGAATATATATATATATATATATATATATATATATATATATATATATTGAAAGGCACAATCAACTTCTCTGTATTTTTCCCATTCTGATTTATCTACTCATAAAATCTGAAAGATATAAATAACGACCTCTTCCACACCTATCGGTTTTTTATTTTACCCACCTTTCTTTCCACTCTTATAATTTCTGTGTTAATGTTTTCCCTCAGCCAAATAACTTGTTTTGAAGAGAAAACATCGAAATCTCAAAATGTTAGAAGTAAAAACAAAAAAATAAAAAATAAAAAATAGAAAAAGAATAATAAAAAAAATCATTTAAAAACTGAAAACGCTCAAGATGGGGGCACTTGACCGTTCCTTTCAAGACGTTTTCCAAGACTCTTCGAGATTCAAGTCGCGTCCATTGGGTGAGTCAAGTGACTGAGTCAGCGTCAGTGTTTGTGTTGCTGCCGAATGCGAAGACAGAATTGAAAACGACGATGATGGGAACAAGACTTTGACCTTGGTGTTAGTCATGGTGTATGTTTTTTTTTCATTTTCTTTCTTTCTTTCTTTCTTTCTTTCTTTCTTTCTTTCTTTCTTTCTTTCTTTTCACTGCAGAGATTTTGATTCCAGAAAGAAATACAAGAAAGAACACCCAAGCAAAATCCCGTCATTATCTGAACGAAATGTTGAGCATTTACTGTCATATAGGAGGACTGATATTACGTAACAGTCCAGCAGTCTTTTCTTCGTTTCTAACGAATTTTTTTTCTGTTTCTTAATACTTTGCTTAGCTTTTGCAAGTCATCGTTCGGTATCCCAATATACATTCGAATTTCGGTGTCGTATTTTCCGTCTTCTGTTAATATGGAATCTTCCATTAATCATTCTTTAACTAATAATATCAAATATAATACTTATATGTGACAATCAAATTCAACAGCGCCAGAGAATTTTTTTTCAAATTTCAGTTCTAAATCAACTTGCATGCCTATAGTGTGTGGATCAGTTAAAAACAAATCAATACTTGTTTTTCTTTGAAAATAACAGATTTAATAGCAGGAGCATACAATACATTCCATTTGTTTTTTTTACTGCTTATCAACCCTTTGTGGGTTATTTAAAGCCGAAATATATTGTGGATATATTTCTGGATATTTCAATTTGTCTACTTAGTTTTGACGTCCCCAATTTGTAATTCGCATTTTGGGTTGTTTCTTTTTTGCTGACAACCATACACGCTATCTTCTTACAATTGATGTTTAATCCTTTTACTAGCGTTCCTTCTGTATTTTTATTTTATTCGGTCGAGTTAGCTGAGACATTCAGGGGTCTATCACGCCAACTGCCAAGGTTCCCATCAAAGTCGGAAGGCCATTAAGTAGGCATTCTGTGTCATAACATAGCTGGTCAATGTAGGTGATTGCTGGGCGATCAACTCGTCTTGCTCCATGGCTAGGCGTCCAGAAGACTAGATCAATCACGAAATCATGCACGCACGCATACACACAGATCAATCAACAAATCATGCACACAGGCATACACACATAAACACACGCACGCTCACATATACGAACGCAAGTACATTTTTATAATCTAAATTATTAATCCTTTACCACCAACTCAATATATTGACCATTTAATTCAGTTCTATTGACAGCAGCGAAGTGAGTGAAAATAAAAATATAAACGTATCTGACCAGAGATTTTTAAATGGAAATTGGAGTATATGTGCAAGCAACAGTTCAAATGACACTTGATTTCGAATTGTAGTTAGACAAAATACAAATCCCGTTCAAAAAATAAAAACTTCTTTAATTAAAGTAAAT